GCTTTGTAATAAAGTGGAATATGCTTTACGGTACGTTAGATGGTGCTTTTTAATGAGGATGAAGGGCAGGGGACACGGGGACGTGCCGTGGGGAGGGAGGGGTGAGAATCGCCATGCACGGCGTGGGCAGGAGGGCGTCCCTGGCACGAGCCGCTCCCCGGGTCCCATCCCTCCAGCATCCACCCATCCTGGGGCCGCCCGAGCGCCGCGGGCTCTGCATCGAGTGCTCCTCACCCTCCTCGGGACACCACCAGGTTGACCTTCACTTTGTAAGACACCAGGATCCCCAGCACCTCCTTGTCCATGCCAGGTCTCAGGCTAGGAGGAAAGGCAGAGCAAAGCCGTGAGAGGTGGCATCTCTCCCACAAGATGGATAACTGGGTCTGTGTCCACGCCACAAACCCCTCAGCTTTTTCAGCATTTTTTTGTCACCTCAGGCATGGGGACAGCAGGCGGAGGAGATGCGTGGGATCCTTGCTGGGAGTAAAAGGGGAAAACACACAGAACAGCAGGAAACCACAGGAAAGGGGGAAGGGGAAGGGCCAGGGCTGTTCTTGCGCCGGCGATACCGATGCCGAGCCGCGGGGTGAGGGGCCCGGGAGCCCGCCCAGCTCTTACATGGTGGTGGAGGCCAGGTTGGTGTCCTCGTGCTTCAGCTTGCCGTCGAGAGCCAGGCCTCGCTTCTCGCGGTTGGCCGAGAGCATGGGCGTCACGGAGTAGGTTTTGGAGAAGGTGGAGTTGGCCGCCACGTTCTCGCTGCAGGGAGCGGAGGGGAGGCGCTGAGCACCGGCGCTGCGCTGGACCGGAGCACGTCGACGCAGCAGCACCCGAGCAAGGCAGGCGGCCACCTCCTTTGTACTTACTTGATCTCCTCAGCGCACACAGTCTTTGTGTATTTGTCCAGCGAATAGAGGACCACGTCTGTGATCTGGTCCACTGCAGAGAGACAAGATGGAGCAATGCTGGGTGCACGGCAGATGCCGCGCGTTGCACGGGCGCACACCGATGCACAATCCCCATCACCCCGGCGGCTAAAGAGGCAGCATCTGCCATCAGCGGGCTGGAAAGAAGATTCCTACAGGTCTTTCCCCACCGCTGGATTTACCAGGGTAAATACTGAGTATATAACGTGTCACATGGGCCAATGGTCTCGCAGTCTTGTTACCCCACTTCTCCCTCTTGATAACCCCACAGCTCTCAGCTGGACATCAACAAGATGTCTGGGCTGCAGCTCCGACGCTGGCAGCGAGTTTCTCGTGCCCATCTGCGTCGGTCCGTGACAGTTCTGCCCCATGGACACGCCACCCCAAGGCAGAGAGGGGGCCCGGATGTGCCCCTCCTGTCTGCTCTCACCTGAGATCTTAATTTTTTTCACTATCTTGCTGGTGGTGTTATTGATGTTGACAGTCACATTGATGGGGTCTCCATGGTAGTAGATCTGCAGTCAGAAGAGACTCGGTTACACGACCGGCAAGCAGGGAATAGCCACGTTTTGGGTGTCCGAGCGATGCCTCGGTGCTGTGAGGGCAAGCAGCGTGGCGAGGAGGGAAGCAGCTCCCGGGACGCACCAAGAAACGGCAACCTTCAGATAGCGGAGGGTGCTGGGGGCTGGGGGAAATGCATCTATGCATCGCGCTCGAGCCCTTTCCCTTCCAAGGAGGCAAGAAAATCCCAGGTCCTGGGGAGAGGAGGAGGGCTGCAGCCAAACCGCAGAGCCCTTGAACCCTTGGGCTTGCAGGGCGCGCTGAGGAGGGGGTGCTGCACGGCGCGGGAATTCAAACACGGAAAGCAGTTCCCCGTTTGAGCTTTGGCTCCAGCCTAAGGTTGGAGCCCGGAGTCCGAGCGGTCCTGGCGAGTTACCGGCTGCGAAGGAGCTGCGAGGCAGAGCGATGCCCCGAGGGGCCCATCGCGCAGGAGGAGCCCCCGGCCCCGAGGGGATGCAGAGAGGCCGGTACCTCCCTATCCAGCGAGGCTTCGAGGTGCAAGGGCTTGTCGGACATCATGAACTGCCGGGTGGTCTCCGACTTTGGCGCGGGCCCCGTTTTCACCGGTGCAAACTGGATCTTTCGGATGACGAGCCGCACCGAGTTCCTGCAGGGATGAGCGCTGGTCACCCCTACGGATGCAGCGGACCTGTCCCACCCCGCCGTCCCCCTGGACACTGAAAAGGGGACCGACGCCCTTCCTGTGGTCAAAGACCGAATCGGAGCGTGCCAGAGGCTGGAAGCGGGGCCCTGGACCCGATCCCCGAGCCGGCCCCTGGCAAGCCGGCCCGCTGTTCGGCTGTAGGGGCACGGGGAAGGAGAGGGGTCCTCCGGAAATACCTCTTGTGAATTTTCTCCTCCAGATTTTCAGCGCAAAATCCTTTGACCTCAAAGTCCACTCCGCAGGCCTGAGGCAAACACGTGTGGTTACAAAGCGGGACGGGCTCCGAGTTCCCTGACGTTCAGGTTTATTCACCTCCTTTTCCCACCGCGTCACCACTTCTGCCGCCCCGGAGAACCCGGCTCCGGCTGGCCAACCCTCGCCCCGCAGGGCGCATCCCCGTGCGGGAGGCCACTCTCGGTTTTGGCACCACCGAACGGATCATCCCTCCCTCCACGGGCACGAGTCGAAGGTAGCCGCTCACCTTTCCGACATCGTCCGGTCCGGGCTGGAGGGTGACCGAGCAGGGCAGGTTGGTTGCAATCTGGGGAGAAAAGGGACGAGAGGAAGCTTTCGCCGAGCTCCCCAGCGTGACGCGGCCGAGCAGAGCGGTCGGCGCCCCGAAGGGGACGGCTCGGGGCCGCAGGGGTGCGTTGGCTCTGTCGGGCAGGCGAGGAGCACGGCCCGAGGTCAGCCCCAGCCGCGCGGCCCCTACCTCGAACGTGAAGGGGTAGGCGTTCTCGCCCAGCTTCTTCAGCAGCTTCTCCTGCAAAGGAGTGTGGGTTTTGGGCACCTGGTCCGGCACCGGGGGGAAGATCTGAGTGGTCTGGACATAGATGTCCTTCCTGAAGGTCAACCCAATAACGTCGAGGTCATCCCGGCCATAGCGAAACGCGCACGTCAGCGTCACGTACACTGGTGTCGGTGCAGGGCGGATGGGAATCGAGGGAGCGGTGGGATTAGGGCAAGGAAAGGAGTACGGGAAAATGAAAAGCACAGGGGAAAAGAAGAGAGGAAGGAAAGAAAAGATGTTAATGACTTCAGCATTAAAAGCAAAATCTTTGCGCAAATAGAAACATAACTCCGTTATCTGGACCTAGATCTCAGGCACCAAGCAGAAAGTTGAGGACTCATCCCCTCTTTCTTCAAGGCACTGGTGGCTTCCAAGTCAGTGCCCAAGACAGAGGTGGAAGAGAGGCAAGAAGAAAGAGGCAGTTCTCCTCTGCGTGAGCAATCGTTGCCCCGAAGCGTGACAACCAGGAGATAACCCATTGCAATTTTAGCATCTCCACAGTCCCAGGTTGCTTGTGGACTTTGCACCAGTTTTTAGCCCTTCCCATTATAAAAGAAGATTTTGTGTCTTAATACCTTTTCTGTCCTTTAGGTACTCTGGGTCAATCAAGCAGATGCCATCTGCAAACAAGCAAAGAAGGAGGGCAGGTAAGGCCGGTGTCCCTGCAGGAGGGAGCCTGCCAGGGAGCTGCAAGGAGGGGAATATCTTCCCAAAAATACAGTGCTTCTTAAGGCACCAAAATCATCTGTACCCATCAGCTCTGCAGGTGACTTTGGGGAGCTGCCCATCAAAGAGCATTGATGCCTCCCAAAGGATCTCCACCAACAGTGCAACAGGTTTGTTTGGCAAAGTCCAGGCTTTGTCCCTTTCCCCAACACCTTCCTTTAAAGGTATTTGCAGGAAAATGGGATCTTTGCCCCTGCTCCTCTTGTTCCCAATGGGGAACAGAGGTAACTGGAGAACAGAGACACCAGCAGAGGAGCCAAGTCTCCGAAACCGCTCGCGGCCACATGCGTCCCAGCACCGGGCAGGCAGCGGCAGCACCTAGCGGGGACCTCTCTGGCCAGGGGAATGGCCTCGCTCACCTACAGCTTCCACGGACTCCACGTGATCCACAAAATCTCTCTTCCCCAGGTAGATGGACAACTGGAGGCAGCACAGGGTGAAAAACAGGGAGAAACAAGGTTAGTGTTTGCCATCGAATTGGCAGAAATTTTCGAGCTCCAGTTTGCATCACGGAGCTTTTTAACACTGCGGTCATTCAGAGTGTCGGACCAGGCATCAGGTTTAAGGACTCGTGTAGGTCTTTTTAACTTCTGTCTTGAAAAGCAAGCCCTGCGGTGGCATTGCGACGGGGTAGAAGCCAGTCGAGAGAGCCCAGAGGGAAGGGAGACCTCCTGCGTCCCCTCCCGGAAGGGGGTCCCCCCGGCCCCGCTGCAAGCCCAGCAACAAGGCAGACACCCTGCGGACAGACCGGTCCGCGTCTGCCTTTTCATGCACGGACTCACCTTGCCATTGGGGCTGGTCTTCTTAAACACTCTGCAAAGGGAACAAACACAAAGGTGTTGGGAAAGCTCGAGGAGCGGCTGGGAGCAGCTCGGCTCCTTCCTGGGGCGCGCGGTTGGGGAGGGCTGGAGGGGACCCAGGAGGGGACGGGGGGCCCAGGCACCGGACCCGGCCGGGCTGGCGCACGAGGCAACGCGGTGCCTCCCTGCCGCGGGCTGCCGTGTCCCTCCCGTGCAGCGCGAGCAAGGACGGACGGACACCTACTTTGCTCCTTCGGCCATTTTGGTCGGATCGGTCGTGGCACAGCGGGGGACCTGCGGGGAGAAACGCAGGGAGACGCTGGGAAAGCTCGTAGGGATGGGGGACCAAGAGGCAGCCAGGAATCAGGACAAAATCGCTGATGTGCCAATACATTTCAGAGTCCTCAGGCTACGGCCCTTCAGGGCCCTTCACATCTCCGAGCAGCCCGGTTTCAAGGCTTCGCAGAGTTCACATACTCTGGTTTCTAGCGGGGCTTTGCCCTGGGACCGTGCAGACACGGGGACTTGCGTAAGACACGTGCTGGTGGCTGAGCTCTCCAGACATAGAGAGCCGGTGGGGACAGCCCGGCCGAGCAACCCTCCCCTCCCAGACCAAAAGGCAATAAAGAGGAAGAGGAGCAGAAAAAGTGAGACTGATACCCAAGGCAGGGCACGTTTTAGAAAATGAAAGGGGAAACCTTGGGGGGGCAACTCCCAAAGGAGCGAGTTCAAGGCTGGGAAAGGCAAGAAAATGAACAAGACTCTTTAGGGCGCTGCAATCTTATATATTTTCTTGGCCGCAGGGAGCTTATTGTCATGACTTAAGAGGAGGAACGTGCTCATTTTGTATGATCCCTCACGAGCAGGGCAAGGAAACCACGGTCAGAAAGGTCGAGAGCAGTCTGCGTGCCGGTGAGCTGGCACGGTGGCGCTGACCTCCGCGGAGCATCAGTCCTCCCCGCGGCCCCCTCCCTTCCCACAAGGCACAAAGTAATGCCCTGAAGAAGCTCCCGCGCTGGAGCGGCTGCAGTTGGAGACGCTTCGGAGCTTGCCGGTCTCTCCTCTCTGCAGCCGGTTTCTCCATCAGTGGGAAATGCCGGCAGACCGTGTGTTCAGCACGGTGTCGCGTTGGCCGTGCAAGGGTTAGTCATGCCCACGCCTGGGGCACGCACGCACGCTGCCGCTCCAAAACCAGCGCACCCCCTGCCCCGGCTGTGCCGTGCCCCGCCGTCCCATCCCGCTGCTCCTCAACCCCACCGAGCCTCCCCGTCGTCCCTGGGCCGGCTCCTCTTCCCAGAGCTCGTTCCCAGGCCTCACTGATCATCAGGCGATTTGCAAGGAGATTAGAAGGGATGAGCTCAGCTTCCTAAACTTAGGTAGCTCTGCCGCGAGCAGGGCTTAAACCGGGCAGGTTGCTAAGCCCCAGCGATGCCTGGGCAACCTCCTCCTCGTGCAGCTGCCAGGATGCTGAGGAGAAAGAGGAGAGCGATATCGCGGTGGGGAGATGATCCTCTTCCCCACGGCAAGAGGATGGATTAGTCCCAACCCCAGGATCTTTGATTGCCCTCTGCCAGTCAAAGATTATGATGGATTATGATCTTCACGTGGGTTCTGCATATGGATCATGAAATCTGGCATCCTCCTCATCTGCAGGGTTTCTTGGGCGGTGGCAAGAGGAGGCGCAAAGCCTCCGCCGGCCCGGGAGCCTGGCAGTCAGGCGGGGGGCATTAAAAGCAGGAGGGAAGGGAAGAGCCGAGCTCCTCCGCTGCCTCCCAAGGCTCAGAGAAGAGCGAGTCGGAGACCTTTCCCGGCTCGGCGAAGCTCTCCTGCACTGCTAACGTGATACCTCTGTCCCTGCCCTCCCCGCTGACCCGTGAAAACCTTTCGGCCCGATGTTTCCCTCTTTCAGCCCCAAGCTGCCCTCCTTCCAGCCAGGAGC